ATTACTGGATTTACAATGTGCCAGCCATTATTATGGCAGTCACATGAAAAATAATCAGTAAAATACAAACATTATTATGGCAGTCACATGAAAAATAATCAGTACAAAACAACAACGATTATAATCTAATACATGGTACTGAATGCCATTTCATCTTATAAAGTCTGGAAAAAATGTGAAAATTAGTATTGATAAACCAAGAGAGTTCTATTAATCAGCACTTCTCTGCTGACCAGTATGGTGATAGTGACATTCATTAATGTCTTTAAATATTGTTATATGCAGGATTATTTCCACGAGTACATTTTGTACTCTAATTCTCTGAATTTAATATCAAGATATGTACAGCTGTTTGCTATCAAGAGAATATTTGTTTAATCAAAGAATCATTATTTGATCATTTTAAAATAATTAGATGCTCATGGGTAATCTTTTAATGCTTTCCCAATCTTTCATTACCCTGATTTGCAGGTAGTTTGTATTTCTTAGCAGATTTTTCAGAGTTTCAAATAACAATTTTATTCAAGAAATTTTATTACACTGGATTCATCTCTCTCTCTCTCTCTCTCTCTCTCTCTCTCTCTCTCTCTCTCTCTCTCTCTCTCTCTCTCTCCCTTCCTCCCTTCCTCCCTTCCTTCCTCCCTTCCTCCCTTCCTCCCTTCCTCCCTTCCTCCTTTCCTCCCTTCCTCCCTCCCGCCTTCCTTGGCCCCTTCTCCTCCCTCTCCCTCTCTCCATGCTCTTTCTCTGTTTTGTTGACCTTACAGGTGAAACTAAGGAAGAAAAGTTAGGAGACTCATTGCAAGATTTATACAGGGCACTGGAGCAAGCCAGTCTATCACCAATAGGAGAACATCGCATTTCAACCAAAATGGAATACAAGCTATCATTTATAAAACGCTGTAACGATCCTGTAATGAATGAAAAATTGCACAGGCTGAGAATTCTCAAAAGCACTTTAAAGGTAAGATATGAAATAGAAGAAGAAATCCCATTAAGATTTATTTTTAAACTGTGTATTACCAGTGTATTACCAGTTATTATAGGATGATACAAAATAGGAGACAGGAGTAAGAGGCAAACAGAAAGAACTTGAAGCTAAGTTGTTCCTCTATCATAAGTGCACTGGTAAAGAAGAAATCTTGTTAATTTTTCACCTAAAGTCTCAAAACACCACCTAAATATTATGTAACTTAGTTCTAGAAGAAAACTGTGATTAAACTTTGTTTTCAAAAATATAGAGCTGGTATTATTCCTCAGTCTTTTGATTTCTTAAGATAAAAAGCCTAGGTAGTATTCTTACAGTTATTAAAAGAACACAGCATGCGTACAGAATGCAAGAGTGGATATTAAAAGGGTTTGAAGTACAGCCTTTTGTTAATATTTCTTGCATGAACTACAACACATTCGGAATAAAAGCACAGTCATATGCATTCCATGTAGAAATTTTATAATTGTTCTGTTTACACTATCAGTTTCAAACTCAGTCGCTAGTTTCCTGTTACACATTTCTGTAAGTGCTTACATTATCTTCCGTCTTCTTATTGATGCCACGTCCACATTGGAAAGGAAGTGGTGAGGACAGAGGAGCAAAGAGGCAAGAGGCTGAAGGAGGCAAACAAATGAGCAGCCTTCACTGTATGTGTCTGTGGGTAGGGAGGACAAGGATGGTGGAGAGGCCTCCCCCACACAACAGCTGAGCAGGTGCTGTACTCTTGAAAAATCAAAAACAAGAAAGAACTATCATATAGAATATCTTTCATAACGCAGAATGTCAAAGGGCTCCATTGGGAACTACTTCAACTCCATAGCATGTTGCTACGGTTTTGTAGTTTTGAAATATAGGTATCAAAGATATAAACAAAATAGTGATTATAAAGAAATGACCCTTATTGATAAAAATTAACTACAGAACACTTTACCTTTGGACATTGAAAATTAATAGGTCATGGGAGGACAATTGACTAAGCAATCCTGGGTGTGTCTTGTTCCGGGAATTTGGAAAGCCATCCTCACTAAGCATAGGTCTTGGATCCCACCACAGGCAGCTCCTGGCATTCTCATTCTCCCCTGGCCCTATTCAGTGTCCTCTCTTGCCTCAGAGATCAGAACCACTTCTTAGGCACCTTATTGTTTTCTTTCTTTGCCAACTCTGGCTTGCACAGAGGCAAGCATGTAGAGTTTACTATCTAAAGGAGAAGAAGGACAGTGCCAGAGTAACTCTAGAGACAAGATATTATAAGTCCACTCAGTGGCAGGGATAGGATGTTTCAAGGACATGAATGAAGGACAAAACTTTTTTCCAAGTGTTTAAGGTAAGTGTGATGAAATGAGAGGCTCTTGAACTGTGTCGTAAAGCATGAGGAAGGTTTACATAGGCAAAGATGGGTAACACAACAGGTCAAGAGAAAAAAATAAGACACGTCAAAGTGGGCACTACAAGATAAACCTGCGATTTAGAATAAAGCACAGGAGGCTATGAATCAAAATAGCTCAGTTTGAATATACCAAAGCCATTTCTTATAGGCTTCTGAATTTATCTGCCTATTAACTTTTTTATTTTAAGCCTGAATAAAAATTCATTCCCATCCTAACTGTTGAATTATTTTGCTTTTCAGGCCAGAGAAGGGGAAGTAGCCATTATTGATAAGGTCCTAGATAACCCAGATTTGACATCTAAAGAATTTCAACAGTGGAAGCAGATGTACCTCGACCTTTTCTTGGATATCTGTCAAAATACCACCTCAAATGACCCACTAAGTATTTCTTCTGAAGTAGATGTAATCACTTCCTCTCTAACACACACTCATTCATACATTGAAACACATGTGTAAGTAGATTCTGCATACAGGCCATCTAATACCTGCTGGTACTCTGAACAAATATTTAAGGTAGTTTTTATATCAATGTGTGGAAGACTTGACAAGTCATACTTTGATGTTACCAAACTATATGAAACAAACAATATATGATCGTAAAACCACTCTCTTTAATGAGCATTTGTATATTTTATATGTAGTCAGTGCTCAGCTTATGTTTACCATGTTCAAAATCAACTATCTTTAATGATTTAAAATCAACTTTTACAAACAATTCTGAATACAGGTGGTCTTCAAGTCGTAAAACCACATAAAGGCAGTTTTCTATCTATGGTCATCTTTTCTCCCTTTAATTTTATATAAACAAGACTTCAAAAGTAAATCACATTTTTTCAGGTGCAGACATCCTTATGGGTGGGAAAGAATTTAAACCTTTTTTATATTTATTAAAATGTTCTAAGAATTTTCTTAAACATTGCACAAAATTTAATGCTGTAGTTTTATTTTTGTGAAATGTAGGTGTGCATGTAAGAGTTAAGCAAAATAGAAGAGCATCGACATAAGAAAAGTTCAGGTATCAAATATGCGTCTTAATAGTCTATTAACTTGTGAAAGCTGGTTAATGGAAATACTATTCCAAATCTTTGAGAACACTTAATGGTGTATCAGGGCAAAGCTTTGTAAGATGTTTTTGTAACTAAGACCAAATTGAAGATAGAGCTGCTTTATTTTCTTGGTTTAAATCTTCCTTTATTTTTGTAGTGATGAAATGCTGATTGTGTACAGAAGAATTTAAGAATGGCTTTTTTAAAACAGATTTAACTCACCCAGAAAGGCAGCTAACAGTTATATATATATATATATATATATATATATATATATATATATATATATATATAGCTTCAGCCCAAACTCATGTTTTTGAACTCTTAACTCTTAAAAGACAACAAGGTATAAACTGAAATGAATCAACTTTCCACGTACTTTCCAATTTTTCCCCTAGTCTGCTAAACTTTCATAACTATACTTCAGGCAGGGAAGTACAATACATTTAGTTACAGGCAGATGTATGTTATAGAAAACAACGTTGCAAACAAATCTATACTTGTAAGGAGCACAAAGGCAGTGGTCACTCAGATGTCACATTGAATTATATGAGCGAGACAATTTAGAAGTTTTTCCTAGCATCATAAATTGTTCTATAGAGTGGATGAAGTCTCTGAAAAGTCCTATTCATATATTTCCATTTCTAAGCATCTCGTATTTTGAAAGTGATCACAGCATGAAAATGACTGTGCTGCTTTTTAGTGTCTGGCTGCATAATGTACAAGTCACAATTTGCTGTTTTTTCAGGAGGAGGAAGGGACCCTCCTTTACTATTCTATATCCTAAAATCTTCTAATCAGCTTTATACTGTTGCCTGTACAGCTCAGTGAATGTACTTACATCTTTAAGAGTTCAGATATATGCCAGTGAATATTTTTGCTGTAGAGGAAAAAGTAAAACTCCACAGCGGGGATCTTTTTCTTTGCTTTTGAAACCACCATTGAATCACTATCGTTTTGCAGACTTTGCACAACTGTACAGGAGTGGCCTTTCTACAGCACATTTTCAGTAATCCTATATTTAGTCAAAATGGATGAGAAATCATGTATTAATGTTTGTATGAAATTTTGGGTCCAGTGTAATATTTTTATCATTTAAAAAAACTATTTGTAAAAACATTTATTTACTGCATGGATATTAACGCACATTAAATTTGTGAGATTTTTGTATCTGTAAAGCAAAACAAAACAAAAACCTCTTGTCCTAAATTGAAGTGTGCTCGTTACAGGTGTTTAGACTTATTGATGTTTACTAGACCAAATGTGTATGTTCACTTAAAAATATTTGTACCTGATGGATGTGTCATGTATATAAGTGGCCAGGTTGTGGCCTGTGAATAGCAGGCACTGGATGGGAAGACTAGCTGTATTGCTACTAAACAGCTTCTACTTTTGTAAAGTCAGCTCTGTTGTTTTAAATGGTAAAAATTAAACTAATGAATTTTACAAGACTCGTGACTAGCCTAGCATGAAAGAGACCTTTTAACATTATATATCTGTACAATTTATTTCATTAGTTTCAAATCTAGGAGAGAGGCAGCACTGTAAACTGAAGTCAAATAAATTCAGCTCTTAATGAATCCTTATAAAGCACCTACTTTATTCATGCAAATTCCTTACCACATTTCTTTGTGATGTAATCACAATCCCATCACTTCAGTTCTAACATTGCCACCTCTCTGGTGGAACAAGCCAGAAGCAGCACCTGTTCAGAGGTTATCCTCTCTGAGACCTTGAAAAATCAAGCTCGTTTCTCACATACGTGACACAAACTTGAAACTTCGCCTCCTCTTTCCTTTCTCTGTGGTTCTTTTGAGGAAGGGGGGGAATTACCAAAAATAAGCTTTGTTATCCCAAAGATGGCCTATTGTGGCTACTGAAATGTGACTTTAAACTCAAGTTGCCAAAAGCAGACTAGGAGTTGGATCAGGGGGTTTAACTAAGGATACTTTCGCAAAGAAAGTGCTTTTTTCCTAAGGGATCTTTTTCTTTAGTTCTATTTCTATCACTATGTCTCGATCATAAAATCATTGTTTTTACAAATATTTCATACTGTTTAAACAAAGCACTTTCTCCTTCTGTATTTGAACAATGCCATCTTCTAGTGCTATTTCATACAGACTATAAACAGTAGTTTTCTGAGGTTCAATGAAGTCTTTTACATTTTTTTTTTTTTTTGCCTTTTGGGGGGGTACACAAAGTAATTATTAATTAGCACGTAAGGAAACATTTCTTAAGAGGGGAAATGAGGTCATATTATATTCCCAAAAGGTGAGTGTCTAGCCCAGCATGTATCTCTAAAAATCACTAGCTTGCTGAAGCCAACTCGTAAATCTATTTGACCTCTCCTGTCTCCCATTCTCAGCTCGAGAAGAACTGTTTGTCTTTGGCCAAGGCCTTGTCTGCCTCCTAAGCCTCCAGACACCCTTCTGCTACCAGAATGCCACACTCAGAAAAAGCCCATCTGTTGCTCTTTAAGCCCAGTCAGGCAGGACTTCCTTCTCTGTCCTCCAGAGACTGGACTAGCCTGTTCAACCTAAAACCAAATCTAACACTTTTCCAGGCTCTTCCCCTCTCTCCTCGTCTTCACTCTCAGTCAGCTGCAGCACTGCACACTGCAGACCATCCCAGGCCCAGGGCAGAGCACAGCTGATGTCCTCCCAGCGGTCCAGGTCAAGGTCGTAGCCCACCACATTACGGGTGGGTACCTGGCGTGAGTCCCGCCACTTGAGGCCTCCCAACAGCAGCACAGTCTCTTCCACCACGGCCAGCCCGTAACAGAAGCGGTCATAGGGTAGTGGCCGCAACCGAGTCCACTGGTCTGTGCCAGGGTCATAGCGCTCAATCTCAGAGAACGGCTCGTATCTTCCCAGAAAGGCAAACACGGCACCTCGCAGCACTGCTAGGTGGTGCCCAAAGCGAGCCGTGCTCATGGGTGCCCTCTTGCTCCATACCTGCTCCCCAGGGCCAAGCGCATACAAGTCACGGAGGCTACTAGCTCCGCCTTCACTTCGTCCAGCCTTGCCCCCAGAAATGTACACAATGCCGCGGTCCCCCACGGCCCCTGCGTGGCCATGCAAGGACCTTGGCAGCTCAGTGCCTACCATCCAGCGGTCCCTGCGCAGGTCGTACACCTCCACCGAGGACAACGCCTCGCCACTGGTGCCCAGGCCCCCTACAGCTAAGAGAGTCTCACCCACCACGCCACACCAGAAATAGGCCCGTGCTTCTTTCATGGCAGGCACCACTGTCCAAACGTGGAAGCGCGGGTCATAACGGTGCACTTGAGCTGTCACCACCCGTGACTCATCAGCTATGAGAGTGGAGGTGCTGCCCAAAGGGGTCTCCCCACCCAGCACAAACAAGAAGTTGCCCACAGTACACACGCTGTGTCCCAGCAATGGTGCTGGCAGCTGTGTAAGGCTGCGCCAGCGGTGATTGTACACGTCAAAGGCCACCACATCCTGGGTGAGCTCCCACTCCTTTTCTTCCTCCACTTCTACTTCTTCCTCCTCTCGCTCCTCACCCTCCGGTTCAGCCATGGCACCCCGGTCCCTGGCTGCCACTCGAGGAGCCACGACCTCTTCAGTCACGGCTTCCCTGGCCCTGCGTCCTCCAACCAACAAGATGCGGGTCTGGGGACTTCGGATGCTGGTTTGCACACCCTGCGCAAGCGGCTGGCGGGAGGGTGCTGTGTGATAGTTGAGGGCCTGAATGATGAGGCCCTTGACCCGGGGGGGCAGTGCAAGGCCAGAGCCAGAGTACACGCGTCGCAGCACATCGGCTGGCACCAGGCCGAAGCGAATGCATTCCAGCAGCGCTGAACTGTGCTCCTGGCGTTCAGTAGTGGGCTCCTGCCGCAGCCAGGCCAGCGCCAGACCCAGCAGCTGAGCCTCGGGCACGCGTGCCACGTCGGGGGCCCCCAACACAGCCCTCAAGGAAACCGGATTGAGTTCTAGCAGCCCCGAAGGGCCTGCGCCCAGCCACAGTAGGTCGCGCAGGTGGTGCACCACGCAGCGCTCCGCCACGCCCAGCGTGTGCGCCAGGCCAAAGCGAGCTGCCACGTTAGAGGTGAAACAGCAGTTTTCTAGGGCCAGTTGGCGCTCCAGGTAGCGGCCGCACAGACCCAGGGCGTCGGTGACCTGCAGATAGCTAGCGGCCTCCAGAGTGTCCTCCACGGTGTCCATGGAGAGCGGCAGCCAGGCAGTGTAGATGAAGTCCAACAGGCGCTGCAGGCCGGCCGCCGACGGCACGTGCAGGTGGATCACGCGCGCCCGGGATTCCTGTGTGTGACTCTTGAACAGGGCTCTGAAGTAGTCGCTGGAGCAAGCCAGGAGCGACTTGTGCGCTGGGAACTCGCTGCCCTCTGCCACCAGGGTCACATCGCACAAGAAGCCCTCGGCACGCAGGGCCTGGTAGCCTGTGAGCAGCGCGCCGCTGTGAGCTTTGCAGTAAGACAGGAAGTAACTCATGATGCCCAGGGCGGGAAGCGGCCAGGAGGGGAGTGGATCCAGCCAGGCGCAGACGGAGACATCCCGGGACAAGGAAGCTCCAAGACCCTTGCACAAGCCACAGAACCCCTAGTAGAGCCCGGTTTTTGCCTGCTCAGTTTAAAGCGCAGGGCACCTTCGCCTAGGTCCACCAGTAGCACCGCGCCCCGCTCAGAGAAAATCCGGGCTGGGAACGGTTGCCAAAAGCCCCTTGCAGCAGAGGATGAGGTATGTGGAGTCCTCTGGGAGTTGCTGGGTTTGGTTTCAGCGGCTGCAGAGGCTGCTAGCGCGTTGCCCAACGCCCCCTCCCTGGCCCAATTTGGGGAGCCCACACCTACGCGCCAAGGGCGGCGGTGGCCGCGCACCATCACCTGGAAGGCCCGAGCTGCCGGTGGACAGCGTGGATGCTGGATCTCAGACGGCCCAAACTTGCAAATGCGGCCCTGACTTCGGGCGTCAGGGGTGCGGGGAGAGGGCTCTGCTCTTCTGGGAGTGGACAAGGCGGACGGGTTCTCTGAGCACCCGGGGACAAAATGACTACGGGGCAAGAGGGGTGAGCTTGTTCCACGCAGAGGATCAAATCAAAGCTTGGGGGATTAGGAACGGAGGGGAGACGCAGGTCAGTGCGGCGTGTTGGAGACTTGATTGGGCGCTGCGCATAACATGCCAGTAGCTCACAGCGACAGGAATAGCGCGCCGCCTAGGCCTCCAGGACGCGCCCCGCCCCTCGCCCCAACTGCTGGCTGTGAACCAAAGACCCGAGCTGGGAGAAAGCGGCCCAGGCCGGGGGCCTAGCTCTGAAACCCGGCTGGCGGACAATCGCTGGGGGAGCAGGGAGGAGGGTTTGTCCCTGGAGCAGGTCGAGAGTAAGGGAGCAAATGACCTTGATTGGCGAGAGTCCTAGGGACCCTCGGCCTGGCAGTGTCCAAGAAGGTTGCCCCGCTGGGCCGGAGGACTGTCGACCTCCTGATGCCCCTGTGCCTGGGAGAGAAGTCCTTGGCTAGTCCTTCTACTTTGAAGAGTCCCTAATTAGCTCGGAGCAAGCGAGATTAAGCAGTGACTTTGCGCGCTGACACCCAGGAGGCCATTATGTGCAAAGGAAACACTGGCGCGAGCCACGCCCAGATGAATCGGGCTCCCTTCCAGGGACCCTGGGTAATGCGCCCCTCTCCTGGACTCACCCTCGGGAGATACTGGGCCTCGTCTGCACCGTTCCCTAGGCAGGTCATGTCCCCAGGCTGTTTCGTTTCACATTGTGCACTTGGCAATTTGTTCCCACTACAACTCTCCCACCCCAACTGAGTTCTCTTTTCCTATTCTTGTACCCAGCCCAACCCATTCCTTTGCAGCATGAACAAGGAAATTGTGGCCAACTTGAATTTTCTTTCTTTGAATGACCGCGTCCTTTAAAAATATAATTTGTTCTAGTTTGCTTTCCCTGATTTTCCCCGGTATGGTCTAATTACTGGCTGCTGCAGCCTCAATGGCATAAAGAGATAATAATGGGCAGTAAGGTTGCAAAGCTCAGTACAGAAATAACTAAAATTACCCCAATACTGAAAAATTACACAAGGATCTGCCCATCTCCTGCATCCTACTCTTAAGTAACTAAACAAATAATATCACTCTTCTATCTTGCCACTTTGGAGGCTTCGGTGTACTTTATTTTCATCTAGAAATGATTTTTCCTGTTTATCTACTGCAACCCCTGTGCTAGCCTCTTTTAGGTAAGCCTTTTGAGGGTATCTGAAATAACTTGTATTTCTGACAGTTTTATTTCATGGGGTTCAGGGTACGAGGAGGGCTAAAATTTTTCCATTTCCTACCTTGGGTACCTTCAGCACTTGAAAGGGCTGCAATTGGATGTAATTTTTTAGATGCACAAAGATATTAGTAAAAATGGTTTTATTGTCAAAGATGGAACTGCTTTATAAATTGCCAAGTTACAAAGTGCTGAAAGAAGCTAGGGTCAGGCTTCCTTAAACTCCAGATGCTAAAAATGTTCCAAAATTAAGTCCTAGTGTTAAGCTACACATGGGTTCAGAGAGAGTATTGTTTTGTGTGTGTGTAGAGACTGGGGTGGGGGTCATTGTTAAAATTCTTGATCCAAAAGTAACATAACACTGTAGTTCACTATTCAGATATACATTTTCAATTTAAATGGCCTTTACTCACCCCAATTGAGTTTTACTAGAAATGATTTCTTAGATCATTTAGGCAAACCTTGTCCTTTTCCTCCAGAATCTCTTTTCCTTTTTAAATAATAAAAATGAGCCCAGAGAGTATGATTTGTCTAGATGACTTGGATATTGAGTTACAGAGTCTGGATGAGAATCCAGGGCTCCTTCCCTACTATATTATGTGACCTTGTATATAACAAAAATAAAATAGTGTGACACACAGTTTATGTAAATCAAATATTCAAGGTGGTGAAGTATTTTATCAATTTATTAACCCAGAACCATGTAGGTTTATTTTTTCTTAAACAGCATATTTTTACCTAAAAATTGATTCACATCCTGTCAGAGCTGTCTATCACTGTGCATTCAGATTAAGTCTAAAAGTCACACTTAAGAAAAGTTTAATATATGTATATATTTCATAGAATTAGTACTTGTTTATATTTTTTATTCCTTCCATGCTAACCTACAATATTTTGCCAGTGAGAATATGATGTAATGTATTAACTGAAAACATTTTTACATCAGATGTATTTATAAGGTTTCATTTAGAAAACATTATTATCAATCCAAGAAAATCATGGTCATTTGGCTAATGTATATGTATTGTCAGTGTTTTCATTTTGTGCAGTATTAAGTATAGTAAATAAAATGTCAGTGTGTTTAGATTGCAGTTGTGTTAAATTGATGTCTTAGTCTGTTTAGACTGCTGTAACAAAACATCCGGGTGCAAGTAATTTATAAGCAACAGTTTATTATTGCTCACCCTTCTAGAAGCTCGGGGTCCAAGAACAAGACACTAGTCAATTCTATCTGATGAGGGCTCTCAACTTCTTAGATGATACCTTCTTGCTGTGTAGGGTGAAAAGCTAACCAGCTCCTTTGGGTCTCATATAGTAACTTAAAACTCATTCGTGATGGCATAGCCTCCATTACATAATAACTTCCCAGAGGCCACACCTCTTAGTACTGTCTCATTAGGCTTAATTTTCAACATGAATTTTGGAAGGACACATACATTTAGACCATAGCGGTTGGGTTTTCTACAAACATGCCTTACAACCCAAATGAACACACAGTTATAGGCAGATCTGACATTATGTGGTCATTACATTAAAAATGAACTGTCTTCCCCCTTTTGATTAAGAACTCCTCCAGGGCAGGAACTGTTTTTTAGCTTTGGCATCTGCCAAGCTTGTCGTGATCTTTGCCCTAAGTATGTTGAGTTGAACAGACGTAGGGAAGAAGCAAAGGGTTATTAAATGGAACATGACTGAAACAATTACTTCCTTCACTCATGTTCATTTTCTCCTTCCCCTCACACAGCTGGGTTTGGGGAGATTTTTGTTTGCTTTATTTTTGCTCATTTGTTTGTTTTGTCTTTTTGAGATAGGGTCTCACTCTGCAGTTCATGCTGGACTTGAGCTCATTTTGTAGCCCAGGCTGACCTCAAACTTGCAGAGATCATCCTGCCTCAGCCTCCTGAGTTCTGGGATTACAGGTGTGTGCCACCACACTGCAACTTGGGTTTAAGACGCACCCTGAGGCCCCAGGGATTTAGTTCAGTGGTACAACACCTGCCTGGCAAGCGTGAGGTCCTATGTTCAATTCCCGGTTACCTATTTAACCCCCAAAGAACACACACTTTGGAAAGGCCATGAGCTTCCACTTGTAGGAATAAAATGGGTAACTACCTGTGACTCCTGACTATAGAGCCTGGATGGACATGGCTCTTCTGAGAAGGCTGCACAACTTCATGCACCCCTCAGTACTGCCCTGCTGTTCCAATTCTGCAATCAGACCGATCCTTCATGGCTTGTGCATTCAGTCCATGCACTGCTGCTCTCCCATTCAGACACAAAGTCCTGAGTGCCCCCAAAGCTGTCCCTGACCCGCTTTGTGTGATTAAATTACTGCTAAAGGCCCAGCTCTTCAGTTCACCTACTGAAACACTGCAGTTTTCTCTACTCCCTATCCCTTGTGAGGATTGTGAACTGCTGTCACCGGTCCTTTCTTTTTTTTTTTTTTTTTTTTTTTTTTTTTTTTTTTTTTTTTTTTTTTTTTTTAATTTTATTTAAGGAGAAAAGAAAAAAAAAGCAGGGGAAGGGTACAAGTTATACAGATTTACAGAAAAAAAATGAACAGTAGGAAATCACTAGTTAATGGATTACATATTGTCATCTTAGAAATAATTGTTCAAGTCACAAAATTAAAGCTTGTAAAGTGGACATTCCAACAATGATACTGCAAACAGTTCTGTTCAATGATCCAATAAAACTCTGTGATATCATTTTCTATCTTATACACTTAAATATACATGCAGTTATATAGTTTGGAGCACTTTCTTTTCCTCTCTTTTGTACCATGACTATTACACATTTTGGGTTTCATTGCTCCCACGGTTCTTATTACTTTTTTGGAAGAGAGTAAAACCAAATGTGACATAACAGAACAGAATCGGTCAAGTCAAAAGGGTGGACATAATAGATAATGTAAAAACATAATACAAGGTTATCAACAATGGTTACCATAATGCCTCCCGCTATCTCTAATAGAATTGCCTATATCGTTAGTTATAATACAATTGAACAAAACAGTAAAGAATAAAACCGACAAAACCAAAACATTGGAGACATTGTAGGTCTTCAAAAGTAGATAAAAGTCAACAAGAATGGGCGTCATAATGAATCTCATTATCTTCACAGCTGATGCCTAAACTTTCGAACCTGATACTATCCAGCAAAACAGAATAGGGGAACATCAGTTAAAAACCAGATGGTGAGAGTAATACAGGGCTTTAAATCAA